AGCACATGCTTAGTTGAAGGGTGGAAACTAAAAGAACAGAAAAGACAAATGAAAAGGATCAGGTGGGTACGCAGCAAGGAATGAAACCAAGGCAAAGTGGAACGGAGGAAAGGGAACCGTGAAATAAACGCAAACAGAAACTCAAACAAAGCAAGAAAGGAGATGGTGTAGGCACCAGCTTGGGGATTTCCAGCCCTCAGCAGAACTGGAGGGGTGTGTGGAGCAGAACCCTGGCAGCATGGGATGGGCTGCATGCTCTGGTGCCAGCGAGGCTCCTCCAAGCCCCATGTGAATCTGAGTCAGGATCACGAGCATCACCTTTGCACCAGGGACAGCTGCAAGGGATATGCTGAACACAGTGGCCATCCTGTAGCAGAGAAGGGACAGCCAGCAGCCCCTGGGAGCCAGGTCCCACTCCCTGTGTATGCCAAGGCAGGATTTTGGCTAAGTTCCCTATGCAGAATAGCACACTAACCTCTGCTGAAACAAGAGTCCAGCTATTTCTGTCTCTGAAGGTATGTGTGTATATCTGAGCTGGTTTCAAGTCAAAAACTAAAAGGTTTTAACAGCTGAGGAGGAACATTTCACTTATGTGGCCAGATTAACTGAAAAAAACTTGCCCAAAAGCAAAGCCCAAACAAAAGATAGCTGTCTTGGCTTGCTTGGTCTCCTCCTTTCAGAGAGGCAAAGCCATACTTTGTAGTTATGAACTATTCCTGTCATCTCTTCTCTCAGCTTAGTGCAACTCAATATGCTATAGAAGATTTTCGTAAGCTCATTAAATATATATATTTTTCCATTAAGCTCACAGATGACTCCTCACTTTATGATCACAATGTCCCTCCCTGATGAGCATCTAGAGCTGTATTTCCTCTGTGCTGTAGTTTTCATTGTGCAGGAGAGTGATGTGGAGTACCATGTCCAGCACATCAGCCCCTTTGTGTTGACATGCCCTGGGAATGTGGAGTCACTCATGCAGTGGCTGTGCTACCTGCTCTCCTCATGGGTGTGGAAGAAGCTTGGCCAGGCCCCTTTGATACATCTAAGAACCCCCTCAGCTGCACAAGTTTTGCCAAGTGCAAAACCTGCCTAGCTCCACTTGCATGCCCCAGACCCGAGTCTCTGTTAAACAATACAGCCATGCCCAAATTCATGTAAGTCTCTAGCTGAAAATGCTTTAAAATCTAATCATAACATAACCACTTTCAGCAGTCTGGCTCTTGTACAGCACCCCACAAACCCCAGCTACAGCTAGAGGAGACAGTCAGGGAGAGACTATATCTGCTTGATTTGATACGTGCCTGTGGTAGAGGTTCTTCTTTCCAGAGATTCCTGGCGCTGTTGCTGTTGCTCCATCACTTGTCTAAAACAGCAATGAAAAAAACCTTGGTCATTATGTATTCTTTGTAATTTTGAGTAAAAGATTTATATCCTGAGAAGCACCCAAGCTCTATGTCTTGGGTGAGGCACTGATCCTGTGAGATGGAGGTGGGTGTGATTTCACTTGCCTTGGCTGCAGCAGTGCCATTGCACACGCTGGGGAAACTGAACCAGGATGTTGCTCTGTATGTGCTGGACACTGCAGGGGTTGGTTGATCCATTTAAGATCATAGAATTTTAGGGGTTGGAATGACCTTATAGTTCATCTAGTCCCAACCCCCTGCCCTGGGCAGGGACACCTCCCACCAGAGCAGGTTGCTCAAGGCTCAGCCAACCTGGCTGTGAACACTGCCACAGCCACAGCCTCCCTGGGCAACCTGGGACAGTGTCTCACCACCTTCACAGGGAAAAACTTCCTAATATCTAACCTAAATTTCCCTCTTTCAATTTGTACCCACTGCCCCTTGTCCTATCTCTGCAGCTCCTAACACAGATCTCTCTCCAGCTTCCCTGGAGCACCTTCAGATACTGGAATGCTGCTATGAGGACTCTACATAACCTTCTCTTCTCCAGATATCTCCTCAATGGCTTTGCATGAGGAATGGTCAGTGCCCAGGTCCCAGGACAACACAACAACCATGCATGCTGTTAACCTGAAGTGCATGAACATTCCAAGGAAAGAGTAAGTGGCATCTTGCATAGAATCCCAGAATCCCAGATTGGGTAAGGTTGGAAGGGACCACTGGAGGTACCATCTAGTCCAACCTCCCTGCTCAAGCAGAGTCCCCTGGATCAGGATTATGTCCCAACAGCTTTTGACTATGTCTAGCGAAGGAGACACTCAAAACCACACAGTCCTGAGTTTTTTATGGATCCCACAGCACTTTTATGGAGCCCACAGCACTTGTAGTTAGAACCTAGTTAGTGTTTCAGTGCTGACTGTACAAAGACTCTGTTGTTTTTTGGCACTGGCCAGTCTGGCTGGCAGCCCTAGCACAGCCACCCCTGTGCCACCAGCACCAGCACTGCTGTGTCTCCTCCACACATGCTGATCCCCACCCTGCACTGCTGCCTTTTTGGCACCTTTCCCCCCAGGAGCTGCCAGTTCCCGTGCTGCCCAGGCCTGGTACTCCTCAGGGAAAGGCTTGGCAGAGGCTCTGATTCTCAGGGATGTGCAGTTCCAAAGGCTCAGCAGCAGAGTCTGCTCTTCCACGCTGGAGTGCAGGAAGGGATGTCCCTGACCTCTGCCACAAAGCCATCCTCTCTTTGCTCCTCTTAAAGACTGATAGCTAAAAAACTAGACTATCTGCCAGGCTTTTTTTGCCAAGTGCATGGATATGGACTAAAGATTTCAACAGTATTAAAGCACAGCTCTGACATGACCTTGCTGAAGCACTTGGTAAACAGGTTTATTACCACTTTCTTCTGCAGTTTCTAGGCCACGTTTGCCCTGAATTTGTTTCATGTATGTTTGTGTCAGTCTTAACTGCATAGAGTTTTCTTTTTTTCTGCAGCAACTTTACTTCATACTGTACAGTAAGGCAAGTTGCACTCTCAGCAACATTTCTATTTTTTCTTACAGTTTTTTAGAGAGATCTCCCTGTAACATTTTCACTTGTACTTTCTGAAATCTGCAATGTTATACGATTCAATCTTATTTATATACCAATAGAAGCTTTTAAAGAAAATATAGTCCATGAAAAAATGAAGTTACATTATGTAGGGGAAAAAATGAGAATATCTTAATTTGCAAAACATATTTCCCATATTTCAATTCTAGTTCAATACATGGAAGAGGAAAATCCATGATTTTGCTGTGGAGGGATCAATCCTAAGCTGGTTTTATGCTCAGGACATACAATCCAGGCAATTTCTAGAAAATTATTACAGGAATCTGAGAAAATTATCATAGGCACGAGGGCGAAACAGTTTTGAGAAACAGCCTTAGCTGGCTGATTTATCTGGTTTCATTTAAGCCATGACACTTTAAATCAAATAAATAGAAATCTTTACTGCAATACATGGCCTGGCTCTTAGTTGATAGCTATGGGCTGAACATCTATGCAACAGCATCAGTTGCACTGCTGAAATTCCAATTGTAACCACATGTACTGAGAAATTCCTAAGCATTCTGTCCCCTACCTTAGCTTGGCATTTATTAGCTAAATTTGATGACGCTAAGAACAAATTGACACATATATTTTCCTCATTAAACATGGGAGAAATTTTAGGTTTATCTAGAGAACAGACTTGTAAAAATCCAGTCTGACAGACCAGGAAAGAAATGTGGGTAAAACATCTCCAAGTCATAAAAGCTGCTGCAGAACAGATAGAACTCCTCAAAAGAAGGGTCAGCCACTGCCACTTGAAGTCACTAGGGTTCACACCAGTCCTTTCTGTCCTTGGGCAGAAGCAGTTTATAAATGCCAAATGCATCCTCCCACACATGCTAAATGGAGAAGTTCTTAAACTCTTAGGAAGCCAAATTTATTCCAGTGGAACTAAATAAAGACTGAGATTGGCACAAGGCTACTTAAGGACTATGCAAGGAGTAAAGTACAAGAGAGGATAAATTACACTCTGACTTAAAAATATATTCTTTTAACATTTGTGTAAAGGTCTCTGAAAATCCTTTTAAACAGACAAATTTGTAGGGTAGATACCATAAGTTAATTTTCTTGCTTGCTTATAAGAAGTTAAAAAAACCCAAACCCTAGGCCTAAAATTAGGTCTGCCCTATGCTTAAAGAGTGCATAAGCATAATTAAAGCTGAAAGTTCTCTAGTGCAGATGCAGAAATATCTAAGTGCATCCACTGGCATAGTGTGTTCCAGTCCAGTGGAGCAAAAGAAGTTTTCCCAGAACTACGTGGCCTGTGGCAGTCAAATAATACCTACCCAAAAGGCTTTTACTGTCACTAAACAAACAACAATAAATAAAATATTTTTATTCTAACATAGTTAAGTTGCTCACACTTGAAATGTACAGAACAGAATTATAGAATCATAGAGTTTTAGGCGTTGGAGTGGACTTTACAGATCACCTAGTCCCATCCTCCTGCCCTGCCCTGGGCAGGGACACCTCAAGGCTTCATCCAGCCTTTATCCTGAACACTGCCAGGGTTAGGGCAGCCACAGCCTCCCTAGGCAACCTGTGCCAGTGTCTCACCACCCTCACAGGAAAAACTTCCTAATATCGAATCTAAATTTCCCCTCTATCAATTTATACCCATTACTCCTTGTTCTATCACTATAGCTCCTAACAAAGAGTCCGTCCCTGTAGGGCCCCTTCAATTGACATCCAAATTTGAGGTCTGAATTACATGTGGTCTGCAGAATCAGTGATTGCCACTGGTTAAAGAAGGGCTGGATAAGGTCTTTTAGTCAGGCAGTGGGGACAGGAGGCATTGCCAACCTCTGGGGGAGCAGGGGCTCTCTGCCCTTTAGGACAGCTCTGCTATGCCAAAGTCAATCTCTCAAATCTCAGGTGTAATATCACTTGCTGACCCATTGAATAGTCATACTAAATCTCAGGCCATTCACAGTGTCCTGGGTTGCAGTATGGGGGGTATCCATGGTATGTATTCTATTATCATCTCCACAAGCAGTTAAAGCAGGTGGGGCAGTGATCGTTATCACCTTGTCCCTCCCTCAGGGCAATCCTGAGGCTCCCTCAGGGGCTGTCTCTGATTAACGGGCTGTCAAGGACCCAGGCATGGCACATCCTCCAGTGATCCTTATCCCCTGTCCCATGGTGAGGGGACTCACCCCAGGGGTGGGGAGCCAAACACGCTCACAGGGATATAAGCTGGGGTTTGGACCAGCACAGGGAGCCCTTTGCCTGCTGGATCCCAGAGGACAAGAGCTGCTGCTGGACCTTCAGGAGAGAACTGGATCTGTGGGATCACTGCTCCAGCAAACCCATCACTCCAGGAGGACTGCAGCCACCATTTAATGGGACTACTACTACACCCTGACTGACAGGGTGTCAGGTTACTTTCAGACTCTGTCAGGTTATTTTCTTTTGTACTGTTGCATTTGTGTTGTTTTGTTGTGTTGTTCATATTGAATTGTACTTCTGATTCAGAGTCTCTCACCGGTTTGTATTCATAAAGGTGCAGGAAACTAGTTTCTCTACACTTTCCTTATTGATTTTAGAGGCAGAAAGAGACTCCTAAGTACCTAACCTGTGTAAGGGCCTCACCTTAAATAACCTATGCATGGTTTTGTGCAGGGAGCAGTCACAATGGTGGCCCTGGAGCATGAGTGCAAATCATATATTCCAGCTCTCATCTCTCCTGCTTCAGGAGCTCCATGTCCAGCCACACAATCCATAGGGCCAGGGCAGTCCCTGTATCCAGCAAAGGAGGACTTTGCCTGCTTACAGGTTGCACCTGCACACAAAGGCAGAGCCTACTGAATACTTGTCATATCAGATCAGCATCTGATATATTTGGTGCTGAACTACCCCTGCAGGCACTAAAATACATGAAAATCCTTACAAAGCTATTTATTATCTGAACCAAACACTGGGCCAAGTCCTCTGAAGAGCTGAGTGCACTTGCTGATCCTCCTTTCATGACAGAAGCAAAGGCAAACACCTCATTTAAGCGATGCCAGGCACCAAACTTGGGAGTAGTGACAGATCCTGTTGATTTCTGTACTCAGCACACTCCTGATGAAGTGAGGCTCACCAGCTTACTCAAGTTATAGCACAATATTCACTGGTGTTTCTCATACAGTAGCAGAAAGACACTTGCTGCGAGAAGAATATGGGGAATAGAGGTGCTTTTCTCTGTGTGTGTGTGTATGCACAAACCTCTATATACTTTAACAGGAAAGCACAAGCCTGGCATGGACACCACTGGTGCCAGGCAGGCAGATCATAGCTCTGACAGCATGACTACTATTCAGACTAGATGACTTTGTCCAAAATGGGATAGGTATGTCTTCTACTCAGCAAAGGGATTTCTATTGCTGCTGCAGGAATCAGCAAAGCTGAAAGGAGATGGGCCTCATAATTTGATGACTGAGACAGGCATTTAAGGACAAACACTCCTGCCCACCTTGCTTTTGATGTCAAGGAGACCACTTCTAGTAGCTAGACCAAAGGCCACATGTAATAATGGCACTAGGCCTGACATACACGTAAAGGTGAAGGGTGTGACTTTACACTTCATTTATTATACTGTTATAGAGTAAAACATTCATAGAAGGACCAAAATATGACATAGGAAGTGGCAATACACAAAATATTACTGTAGTCCATCAGCTCCTCCCTGGGCAATGTGACTATCAACTGCTGCAGGTGATCCAGAACAGGATAACGTTAGGCTTTCCTAACATGCTTGAGAAAGATACACTACAAATTGCTTTTAAATATATTTTAACTCTGAAAATCGTTTGCCTTTGAGCAAAGAGTTTACCTAGAGTTTCAGTTCACTTCACCCTTGAAAAACCATTACAGAATCATTAGCAATAATTACAGAAAATAATTTAAAATGCAGAATCAGCTTGAAAGAGGTATAAGTAAAAAGAACTGTGCTTATTTGCAAGCAAGGACTGCGTGTTCATCCAAGTTACAAACCAGAACTCTGCCATAGCTAATGAACTCACCTTCTCTGTGCTTCCATCTCATCTGGAGATGGACCATTCTGGATCTGGCGCTGGGCAGCTGGACCTGCAGAAGAAATGAGAGAATGCTATCAGGGAAGCAAATGTGGATGACTTTTTCAAAAACCAGTGCCACTCATTAACTGCTTCTCCATCTTACTATGACAGCGAAACCTCAAGAATTATTGTCTTCTCTTTGCTTTATTAATTAATTTTTTCCCGATCAGACAAATCCTGTACATTTTTAGTCCCACTGGGAGAATCCAATGTGTCTAAACGTGTGGGCAGATTTGTCCAGAAACTTGGCATTGTGGCAGCTGTAGGCTACATACTCATCCCTTACATGGTGGTGATGGTGAGGACCTGTCATGTTGCAAGAGATGTCCATTGCATTTCTGGGATGCATTTCTAACTTCCACAGGGTTCAGATCTGTCCTTCATGGATTATTCTGTTCTTGCACAGAAATTCAACCACTTTGCTGAGTTTGTGAGCACACATGCTTAGCAGTGCTGCTCTGATGCTGAGCTGGCATCAAGAAGCTACCTGATAGAAGGTGCATGGAGATGCAAAATAAGCCTTTTACAAAGGTGTTTTTTTTTACAA